CAAAACGGTGTGGTCTGAATGAGTCGGAAATTTAAAATTGGGTGTACAAAATACATATAATCGAGTTTTTGTTGATAACATTATTTTACAATTGACAAGTGTGCTTACCATGAGTTTACGTTAGGTGTGCTCGCTAGCAAGTACGTCAAAAAAATCTATGAAGATTTTATTTCTTGAAAGTAGCCGCTTGGGGCGCTGCGTAATATGTCATACATTTAGGCTGAGTTACACCACTAAACTTTGACCAGAATTATAACGATAACCGGTGATTTTTGTATGAGTTTGACATATTTTTGACGTTTGTTACAGTCAAAGTAAGTTGGTGCAACCCAGCCTTAATGTCATTTTTTTACGCAGTCGCTCGCGAGCACACCTGACGCAAACTCATGGTAAGCACACAGGTTTGAACATAGAATACCTGAGGTATGTATAAACAAGTAAATGAATTAAGTGCTCTTGTATCCTTCCTTCCTACAAAGATGAAAAAATTTGTCTGTTATCTGGCCATCTTTGTAGTACAGGCGACAAAACATTAAGATAAACATTGTATCCCCCTGTGTGGTTGTAAAAAATACGATGTTGCAACATCAAAGTATACAGCCAATGTGCAAGCTTTTATTTTGAGGCTTGATTGACGCGATAGTGCATCAAATATTATTTTTATTAATATCAAACATTTTAATGTTTTTGAAAGAGTTAAAATGCTTTTGTTTTAATTCTGCCTATTGTTTGTACCACACTCCCGTTAAGGACGAATTACCTGCTTTTTGTGCCTGAATTATTGAAATAATCCGTCGTCCCGAGCCAAGATAATGACCTTTCATAAATATTGCAAGAATTAAATTCGCACAAGAATTCGCAAAAGAAAAACGTTTATTGCATTTATTTCATACCATTATTTTTTTCATAAACGCTCTCGTTTATTTTGTGCGTAGCGACAGATAGGCATTTGCAGTAAATTAATCGAAAACAGACTCAACTAGAATTTTGACGAGTTCTAACAGTTTGGTGATTGTACTCTTAATATAAGAAGGAGGCTTATTTTTATCTTAGTTCTCAGATGAAAATAACCCTTCTTCTGGTGCAGTCGGGTAAATATGTAACGAATTGTGATATTATTATGACCAGTTACCTATTTGACACCATAAATCTTTGAAATTGATTAATTATCTACATTTACTTAATGGAGCTAGTGGAGTTTCCTTTTAACACTTTGGACGCCACGCGGCTCACCGGTGAGCCTTGAACAATAAAACTGTTGTATTTAGTGTCTGGGCAGTCAAATTCTTAACACCAATCACTGCTGTAGAACTATTAATTGAAGAAGTAGCCCATCATAAAGATTTTAACTTATAAAACTTTCCCAGCCCTTTCTGTCCCTTGACAGATACTTAAAGACACAGATAGCCCTCAGCCCTAATGAGTACAGCCGTTAATGAGCCAAAGGCGCTGGAATAAGCTAATTGCAAATCTTATCGCTCGATCCCCGCCTTGTTTTCATAGTATTGGCGGAGTTACAAAACGCAAGTCTTTCAATTATTTTTAATAATCAAAGAATTTCAGAATTTGCTAATTCTAAATCCCCGTATGCGTTCTGAGATGAAAATAGGTAAAAAATGGTTCTATGTACAAGACTGTTCACGGTTGTACAGTTGTAAATTCGATGTCCGGACGTACTACACTCAAATAAAAAGTTAGTGGGAAAGATATTCCCGCTGTGTATTGTTGTGCTCCTCCAAGGTAAAATATTCTTCATAACCTACTTCTTGCTGCTAATCCGAGTCGTTATTCTAAATTATGATGTAAGTATGTGGCACTAGAAACACAATCTGGGTTATTTATGACTGATAAACTTTGGCATGAAATCATTACCCTAAATCAGTTTATAGGTATATCCTATATCAGATTTCAGGTTATACTATGTGAGACTACTTCTCTACTAAGTGAGGCGTCCTCTCATAGTAAAAAAAAAATGTTGAAATAAATATTTCCCATACAAACCATACTTTCTACATAATGATATCATCACGCGGTCTATTTTGGATAAAGTTAAATTTCAGCCCGTCTTTTAGCGAGTAATAAGGTCAAGTTTTTGATAGAACAAGCAGATGAAACACAGGCATAGCCCCGGTACTAATAACTACTGTTAATGACCCCAAAGGCGCTGGATCGGGGCTAATTGCCCTGATGGTATCGCACGCGATTCAACCCGTTATCATGCTAGGTGAGGGGCTACGCGAAAGAGTGGAAGTTTTACTATGGATTTACATTTCTAAATGCTAGTCAAAAATACCGCGATGGAACTAGGAAAAGATTTCGTTTTCCTTAAGGAAATGACGATATGCCACATCCTAATTTGGTATAGAAAATAAATATCTGTGCTTCAATCTGCAAAAACAGGTCTATGCTCCAGTTAAAATAGAGTTATGAGAATCGTTTCATAATACGCGCCTGTAAGGCTGTGTTGCACCAACTTACTTTAACCGTAAATATAACAATAACCGGTAATTTTTGTATGGAGATTGACAGATTTTTGACGTTTGTTAAAGTTAAAGTAAGATGGTGCAACTTAGTCTAAGACTCGAAGTAACATTTTGCACTTGTAGGATGTACTCGTACCACAAAGATCCAATTCATTAAAAAAATTGAAGTTGAAAGAAAGCTAGTCATATAAAGTAGGTATTATGCGTAAACACAACAAGCTCCTCGTAACTTACATATGTCACAAAAACTGTCCCACTCACGAGCGCAAACCGTTTAATCAAGTAGCAAATCTCAAAAAACCGGGCGTTAAACAAACATGCTCTAAAAAGTGCGCGGTCGAGACGTCCAACGTTTTTATCTCGGACACTTTTTGTCCTGCACAAAGCGCCCTGACTTATGGCCCCACATTTGCTAAGCTGGGGACAAATGCCCCCATCTCGGACATCATCGGACGCTGTCCGAGACATGAATCAGGGGCACATGACCCCAATAAACAATGGGCGCTGACAAATTGCTGACGATTTTGCTGTTCAGGTGTATTGGTTGTTACGTTGATAGGTTTTTTGATGCTACCGTTTTCTTTATGTTTTATATGAAGTGTTTTGTTATGAACGATTTATGACATACTTTTCTCAATCGATCGTTATCTTGATAATGGTTTTATTGGCCATATATGAGTAAATATAAAGGCTGTACTTTCAAGTAATGTTTCACTCATATTGCGAAACATTAGTTTAAGGATATATTAGAACATTTGAATCCAGCTGCCATTTATGTCATCGTTACGAAAAATAATGTTCACTTCAATGCTTTGATGATAACTTGATAACAATGAGTTGATAACTTCGCGTACGATTTTTCTATTACGAATGCGTAACAGTAAATACATCTTTTTATTTAACTCACTTCCAATATCTCTGGTTGGTTATTAGACCTTTAACGATAATAATATACTTCTTATTAACTGAAGTTTATACAAACATGCTGTAATACCATGAGCACTTACACTCATGGTTGAGCCATCAACAGTAATCGGCAGCCCACGGGCGACTGTAGTAAATAACTCGGCATACGTGAGTCCTTGCCCCGCCGAATGCTTGGGTATTACTTTGATGTGGCGTAGTGATGTGCCGTTTTTAATTTGGGCTTCGATGACTGCACGTTTATGACACGTTAAAATCACATTATTTCGCCTAGTGAGTAAATTCTACGAACTCACTGTTTACAGCGATTAAATTAATAGCTTTATCACATGCAGCCCCCCTAGACAAAACGCACTTTTTGATCGAATCGAAAATCGAATCCGTCAAAACTCCATACAAAAAAGGGGCTTTTCGACCACTTTTCGACTGGTTTGCGATTATAATTTGCACTTTGTCTAGACCCACAGATTACCCAGAAAATGTATCTGGTTATATCTACCTTGCAGTAACAGTGCAAGGTAATGTGATCACAATTTAAATATTTCATCATAGCTATAACTGAAAAAATCTTTTAAATTCAGTTTTTCGATTAAATGTTAAGTAAAATTAAATTTGCTTCGAATACAATAAACATTTAGTCAATAAAGCTTCCTACTGTCAAATTTATAATGAAAAATACGCCAATTGATCTGGAATATCAACTATCCAATCCAAAGGCCGCTCAAGGTCAGACTTGATTCCTGACTTTGGATGCCTTTGTCCAATTCACAGTTATTTTACATCCATTTCATCGACAATTACATCGACTCGTGCACATCCCTACTCCTAGAGGTGGAAAGCCCTTAGCCCAGTTGCAGCGCTCTCGTCACGCTCTCGTCTCAGCTCCTGATACTTTTGTGCCTCTATTGCTTCCTTCCCAGGCGAGGTAGAAAGAGGTAGAGGTAGTAATTAACGGAGGTAATGAGTTGCGCAATGCAGGGCTTGGCCGATGACCTACGCCGATACGAAATTTGTAAAGCGCTTGCTCGTAAAATGTTACGTTTAGTGGATTCTAGTTTTGAAAATGTAGAAGAATATCATATTTCTAGACTTCAGGCATTTCGGCGTTCATATTTTTTTATTACAAATATTATCTGTGCTTAAACGAAATTTTTTAAGATTTTTAAAATTGCGCAATGCCTATTAAAGTAACTGATTCTCTGAATTCTATAGTTTATTGCAAAATCGTCGTTTGGATTATAAAATTACTTAAATGTACACCTAAATGTTATGAACTCTTGTTAATATTCAGTTAAACAAGAACTTCGTCTAGAATTCCTAATTTAGAGCATTTCGTGAATTAATTTAATCTTCATCATTTAGGCAATTACATGAATTAATTAACTAATTTCGGCACAAATCAAATTATAATCAGACGACACGACAGAACATGTTCTCAACATTTTAATATTTAATCCTAGCCCAGCAGTGTTGCCAAATTCAAATATTTAATCCGAACCGGTGTTGCCAGCGTCGTACATCTTACTCGAGCCCTGAATAATTCCGACAATAGCGCTGTAGGCGAGAGATAATAGTAAATCACCTTAATACATACTACACGTGAGCGTTTTGAGATGAAAACTACGAATATATGGCGTTGTAAAAGCTCAGGTAGAAGTTTTGAAACAAAAAACATCCGTTGGTTTTAATCATCGTTTTAGAAATTGCAAGAACGCTATTTTTACTACAATAAATTCTAAACCATTTTAATGTCTTTGAATAACGATAAAAACTGCACACGCCACTTAGTTTTTATGTAAAGTATCATATTATCAGTTGTATAGTATGACATTTAAAATTAGGTTAAAATCAGTAAAAATAACTTACCCGCTTGCTGTCTCGGAACTTGAGCCACCCGCTGATGACGCTGTTGTCCACCTCGCAGCCTTCTTCAAACTCCTCCTCGCCCCTTCTAGACGGCAGTGGAGACCCCCCCGGGCTGTCCAGCATCTCCCTTCTCCGCATAACAGGAGTGCACTGCTGGGACAATCTCCCCTCATTGACTGCATCACTCCGTCTGCCAAGCACCGGTGTAGTGTTAGCAGACACCCCACCCAGCAGCCCACGCCTCCCCAAAAACGGACTCCCTTCCCACATCGGTCTCTTAAGAGGACTCCCTTTGCATTCAGAGTGCACGCACACAGCGTCGAAATTCGCCAGTTCCACCGACACCCTCGTCTGCAAACCACTCGGGTGCGTCGTCAAGATCGTCTGCTTCGCGATGCAGCCGTGACGGTACACCTCCTCGCGTCTCTCCATCTTGCTCGTCCATTAATTGGGCCCAAAAAAGGGGAGCCTCCACAACATCCCCATCTCCTCAAGGTATCGCCTCATCTGCAAAGACGAATAATAATTCCATTAACGAAAATAGCACGATTTAATTGCACAATTAGAGGCGCGTTCCGAATCGTATATTAGTTTAAATCGCTCCAACTCCAACCTTTTGTGCGAGGGCCCACCAAATTGACTGTTTTAGATTTTAAACAGGCCTCTATTATAATAATTCGGAAGGGTCATAGATCGTCGGTCATTTGTAAAAGGGGGCTCCTAATCTTCGGAATAGTCGAATGAAAAAGGAATTTCGAGTGGAGAACGTTCTTTAATGAAGTTAGGAAGTGTTCATAACTCTTGACGTTGATCATTTATTAGTCGTCTTATGAACATTAATGACTTGATGAATTATTCAACATTTCGGTTGCCTGCCTTTTAAAGTCTTGTTAATGCTTGTGGTTTCAAGCCTAACCTACATTTAATGGGCGATAAATTGAATGAGCGAGTTAATTTAGTTGGATTCAGTAGAAGCACCTAATTGACTCAATGGAGGTAACATTAGCAACTGTTCTCTTTTAATGCAACATAGTCTTGCATAGACAAATAAAACTCCATAAACCAAACCACGGACAAAATCTAAATATACAGGGTGTTTGGTAAATGGGTATATGAGCCGACACTAGCCCATGTTAACATGGGCATATAAATGGCATGGTGAAGTCAGAAATTTGATATCATCATTTTATTTTTTTTAATTTTCATACAAAATAAATTTTATAAAATCCGATTTATATGAAAATTAAAATAATTANATCATTTTATTTTTTTTAATTTTCATACAAAATAAATTTTATAAAATCCGATTTATATGAAAATTAAAATAATTAAAATTAAGATATCAATTTTCTGACTTCACCATACCATTTATATGCCCATGTTAACATAGGCTTGTGTCGGCTCATATACCCATTTACCTAACACCCTGTATAACTCAAAGGTGACTGACTGACTGACATAGTGATCTATCAACGCACAGCCCAAACCACTGGACGGATCGGGCTGAAATTTGGCATGCAGGTAGATGTTATGACGTAGGCATCCGCTAAGAAAGGATTTTACGAAACTCCACCCCTAAGGGGGTAAAACGGGATCCACGCGTACGAGTCGCGGGCGGCCGCTAGTCTACTAATAAAATGCTAAGTTTAGTTTGTAATAGGTACGCCAGTCAATCTGCTTAGTTATGCTCGACGAGGGCTTAGACAGTAATGACTGTCATTAGGGAATAACAATATGCTAACTGCCACTGAATAAACAAACTATTATTATAATGGTCTCTGTTCACGGACAGTTTTTCCAGTTATTTGTTTAGAAACGCGTTTTTAAAAGGCGTATTTTCTTTCACTTAAGCATGACAGTCATTCATAAGTAATGTGCAATGTATTTCTCAGAAATCTGGCACGATTTATTTGACATTATTCTTATTTATTGTACAGAAAGATGAAAATTAAGCTTAACAGAATATAAAAAGTTACTACAGCACAAAAATTAACAACATAAATAAGGTTTTATGGTAAATTTTATGAACTTTACGCCATGGTAGTATAGTCACTTTTCACAGTCGTGTAACACATACACGATGACGCTTGCTTTGTAAATACACTGAAAACGTCACTGAAAGAGAACACTAAGGCTGGGTTGTACCATCTTACTTTAACTTTGACAAACGTCAAAAATCTGTCAAATTTCATACAAAAAGCACCGGTTATCGTCATAGTTACCGTTAAATATAGGTGGTGCAACCCACCCTAAGGCTGAGTTGCACTATCTTATTTTAACCGTAACTTTAACGATAACCGTTTTTTTATATGGAATTTGACACATTTTTCACGTTTTAAAGTAAGATGGTGCAATCCAACCTAAGGATTTGCGCTAACGTACCTAATTGGAACGGATGGGTTATTTAACTGATTTAGTTTTGGTTAATTAATTCATCTTGTATAATGGAAATGTAAAAACCAAAAAGCCACAAATAAATTAACTCCAATGTCACACGAATGCTTCCGAATGCGAACCGTCCAATGAATCAATCGCAAAGTAGTGTTGAAATACATGGACGCGTGAAATTAAGCGGTGCGAGCGGAGAGCGTAATCGGATTGAGAGAGTTAATAACGTATTTATACTAATGTAGTTTTTTGGTAGGCTCATTGTGATATTTTGATGATTGGTGAACGTTAATTGATTTAAAACGGTATAAATTATTAATTTTCGCTAATCAGGTCGTCATTTTCTCTTTTCTTCTCTATCGTGTGGGTTCTTATGATGTGCATTCTTTAAAAAGTTTTCTTGTCTACAATTTAATAGATACCGTTTATTCTAGCAGCTTCTTTTTATTAAACAAGCATTTTATTAAACAACTACTAGGTCGACCGACGACCTGGTAAAGGTCGTGGGAAGAGACTGGATGCGGGCAGTTTATTGTGGAAAACCTTGGGGGAGGCCTCTGTCTAGCAGTGGACGTCATTTGGCTGAAACGAACGGACGAAGCATTTTTATTTGCGAAATCATTTTGTGGTTCACAAGTTCACTTTCTTAATGGTTTGTCTGCCAAGATTTTCGTATATTGTTTTCCTAATCAAATCAATCTGATAACGAGATTAGTTAATTTGTGAGAACAATCAACACCAGCACGAAAATATCAACATTTTCTCACTACTTCCTATTGTTAGCAACGGAAGATATTAATTACGAACGCCAATAACGCTTAATCACGGCGAAGGAGATAATTGAAAAGATACCGCCCATTTATCCTGGACCGGGAGATATGTGAAATGAAAACATTGAGAGGAAACTTATTAGCTTTTACACTTCAATTTAATCCTGCATTTTTCGAAGACTACTCATTGATTGGGATCAGCTTTAGAAATAACTTTGATTAACATACTGTGAGAAGGGAATTGACACCAGAAATTAGGCTGTAATTTCGCCATTAAAATTGCATGTGAGAAAACGAAAAAGTTTTTTTTCCATTTGCAATTCAATGCAACGCCACACAGTTGGATCATTTTTTGGTTGCTTTTATTATAAAATGTCTATCATAAATTGATATATTTTCGTATTCTCGCTTGAAACAGAGCAGCAAGATATTTATAAACGACACACTAGAATATAATATTACAATTGCAGGGAAACAATCTCATGTAACTTCCTTCTTTTTCATTAAATTTGGTTCTGAAATCCCAAGCTGCTGCATTATTAAAGTTTTAGTGCGACTGCTAGAGCAGTAGCTATTATAACTGGGGGCGTAGTGTAAATATACATCAAACGTCCTCACTAAAGAGCGCGTTAAAAAAATATATACAAATTTTAGTTCTTGAAAGTTTCCGCTAGGGGCGCTGTACAATCCGTCATACATTTAATGTGATTTTTTTACGCGCTCACTAGTGACGACTTTTAATGTAAACTCACACTAAACCCTCTGTGTGCTTGAGTTTACGTTACGTGTGCTCGCTAGCGACTGCGTAAAAAAAGACATTAAATGTATGACAGATTGTACAGCGCCCCTAGCGGCTACTTTCAAGAACTAAAATCTTCATACATTTTTTTGACGTACTCGCTAGCGAGCACACCTAACGTGAACTCATGGTAAGCACACTGTAGGTACTACGACACTTCGTAGTATAGCGAGAGCGAGAGGTATGTTACAGCGTAGTAGCCGTAGTACTGGTAGTACATTCGTAGCGTGCTACGAGACTTGTTATTCTACGAGTATGCACCAACGCAGTCAGTTTACCCAATCTATTTTTGACATTCATTTTTGCCGTTTCTATTTGGAATGGTTTTCGTTTGTCCGTCCGGAGGAATAAAATTGCTTTTTTATTTACTTTTATTTAGTTACAGCTGTCCCGAAATTTATCTTAGTTTGATTGAGCTGAACTTTGTTATACATATACTCGTACTTATGTGAACTCAGAAGCTAAAATATTATTTTTATGTCACAAAAAAATGGTCCGGTCGCGGCAGAGTTTCAAAATTGACAATGTAAATGGCTTAATTCCTTAGATGTTTCAGAAAAGAATACGATCTGAGCCTGAAGAATGCAAGTGAGTCGGTGAAAGGTATATTTCTGATGAATAAGCCTTGTTTTAAAAAAAGTCTTTCATAAGTTTTTTTGAAATTCTCTGAAAAAATACCATAACAACTAGGAAGATTCCATCTACGAACTACCTGTAAAACCTCACGGTTTTTGTACCCGTTAATCGATAAAACTATAAATTGGTCTGCAGATATCCGCCGCTCCAGCTCCGATAGTGGGAATTATGTGCCTCCTCAAATAATGGCCAGTTAGCACCGGCCGCGATCGTTATCTGGCAACACCATTCTTTTTGCCTTATCGCACTTCCGGTTGGGGAAGTATTTTACAGGCTCTGCAGTACGAATCAATGGGTAAGTGAAGATGGGAACGTTTGATTATAAGCCTTAGAAAACCAAGTAATGTCTAGCTTATAAAAATAAAAGTTCATCATCATCATCAACATTTCAGCTACAGGACGTCCACTGCTGAACATAGGCCTCCCCAATGATTTCTACAATGGCCGGTTGGTGGCGGCCTGCATCTAGCGCCTTCCCGCTATCTTTATGAGTTCGTCGGTACATCTTGTGGGTGGCCTCCACTCCAGTTACAAAAATAAAAGTTACAACCAAAAATTAGAATAAGCGTATTTCTGTTGGAGTTTTGACATAATCTGAAGTACAGAAATTGGTCCTTCTTTTTATGAAGGGATTACCAACTAACTGACATTTACTTAGTGCGGTTTACATGAAATACTTAGGTCAAGTTAGAAATAGAATTATGTATTTATAGAAATAAAATATATTTCATCTGTATGTAACCTTGCAGCCGTTTATAATAAATAAATAAAATGTATACCGTTCCTACCTTTAGCAGGCTTTATTATAAAAGTAGTCTAGTTAATTAACTAACATGGATTCCGGAATCGTATTTTACGGTAAATCTCTATTATGCAATCCAGCATAATATACAAATTAATTTTCATAATGCTGC